TTTGCCACTACCATCAAAGACCACTCTAATCTTGTCCGTACCTTTCTTGAAAATACCGTGATGTGGGATAATGAAGTGTTCAGAATCAAACTTAAATTCTGATTTAGACATATGACCCAGAGATTCATATTCCTCCATGAATTCTCTATATTTCTGTGCGAATAGTGGATTTCTATCCATCTTCCTCTCTAATGACTTAAACCGTTGAATAGCTAATGCCCTTGAGTCACCTAGTGAAGGTCTGGTTGATAATAGTGGTAACCTTACCATGTATTTGCCATCCGGCATGCGTTGAGTAGTTGACTTGTACAACCTTTCACATTCCAAATGATCCGGGTGTACTGCTGGTTTGGAGGGAGGTTCTTCTAACTTCCAAAACCTCTCAAGGACGTCTTCAAGCCTTGTTGCATGAAGCCCATAGTCTTCTACTGAAGTTTCCGTTGGTTGACCTGAGGCACCAGAAGATGGCTGCTGACCTGAAGCCATGGCACCCATGATGACATGCCCAAAACACGATCCATAAGCTGACAAGCCTGGAATGTTAGTTGATATCTTGGAACCATCAAGAACATAATTGAGAATATCTGTACCCATGATTATATCCACATCATGTGCCTTACTGAAGTTACTATCGGCTAAGATAATGTTTGATGACCTTAATTGATCCCTTACATGAATATCATATGGAGGGAGATTTCCAGTGACTGAGTACATGACTACTGCTGTAGTACTGACAATAGGTACCTGTTTGCCTACAGGTTTGATAACTAACTTTACTACCGTACCTGGAGTCCTAACCTTTTGTTTACCTACCCCATAAATACTATTCCTAATAGACTGCTGATGCAGATGTAACCTATCGACTAATGATTGTTTGATAACGGACATACTGGCCCCTGTATCCAGTAATGACCTGACCTTGAAATATTGACCATCACCTGACTTAACCATCACCGTTGCAGTGGGACAGATGGTGACTGGCAATGATGAACCCTGAGCTGCATCAACAGGAGCCTCATCTCATTGTTTTGACGTGGGGCTCAACCTAGATCCGAAGCGTAGGTTGTGAAATTGAACATTGGCCTGATGTGCCCGCTCACCTACTCGTGGGCGTCGTTGATATGCTGGTACTGACTGCACTGGTGTTACCTCGCATGGCCTAATCTGATGATCAATATTGCTTGGGCAATCATTCTGACTTCCACTTGATTCTTGACGGATGGGTTGAAACGGTGAGGGAGGTGGTGATATTGACTGCCTTGACTGACGTGATGGTGATGACGCACCAGTGTGGTGATGACGCATGGCAGGCGGTGACCGCGATTCTTGAACTCGTGAACCTGAACCAGCATTACAGATAAGCGAATTATGCTCTGGTGATTTGCAGTGAAGACACCAATTCCTGTGAGTGCATTCACTTGCATAGTGTTTCCTCAAACACTTATAACAGTGGCCTGTCCTTTTGGCCCATGACTTTCTGGCTCCTGGAGGCATTCTTAAAAAGTCTGCACACTTGTACAACGTATGTGTCTGATTCCCACAAAATGAACATGAAGATGATATTACCTGATGTGATGAAGTTGATGGTTGATGTGACATCACCCCTCGTGGTGATAAACCTGATGATCTCTGGGTGGGAGGTGAACGTCGTCCCCGGAGAGGTGGTGATTGACGTGTGCTCTTGATTGGGGTCCGCTCTGCTGGTGGAGTGACTGTCGAGTGAACGCGGCACTGCTCATCCAACAGCTCCAGAAGCTGAAATACTGTAGGCAGCGTCTGGGCATCCTTCCCATACCGCTCCTCAAACATTGACCTCATGCGTACAGGAAGCTTCTGCAAAACCATGAACAATATGAAATAGGACCACTCTTTGACTGGTACCTTGAGCTTTTCCAATGCTTGGATAGCCTCATGAAGCGGGTCATAAAATTCTGATCGTAGTGACATGGTGGACTGAATCACCGGTAAATGAATAATAATATTGATATATGTATCCACTAACAATCTATGATTTTGATATCTGTCCTGAAGCAACTTTAATGCTACCAAGTAATTATCACCATCCATAGGTAGTTGCCTGATGATTGACAATGCATCACCCACTAATGATGCTCTGAGGTAGTAATGCTTTTCTGCATCTGATATGTCCCTACCGTGAACTAATGATTGAAACAGGTCATGAAAAGGAATCCATTCCATTATGTTTCCTGAAAATTTTGGCAGTTCAATGAGTGGTAATTTAGCCATTACCTGTGTATGAGGTACCTTGGTGTCAGATGTGGACCCTCCACTCTCTGAAGCTTGATCCAGCTTGATAAGCAGTTTGTTGATGTCACTGAACTGCTGTTGATACAGTGCCATTTCCTCCTCTGTTACCTCACTAGAGGTGAACCCAAGAAGTTTCTCATAGGCTGTGACAAACTGGTCATAATACTGAGTGAAGTGTTTCTTAGCTACGGCCGCCGCCATAGAACCGGTAGTATTGTCAACCGTGGCTGCAAAATCCAATAGCATCCTATATTTCGCCTTAAATTGCGTTTGTGCCTGACGTAACGACATATTGAATTCGTGTACGTATTCAAATTAAACTAAAACACGTAATAATTGATGTAATTAACAGTTGTTATTGATTAAATAACTACCTATTGAAATTCCTATGAACACTAAATGATTTGTTGTTTACAAACAACCTTATCACCTGTTATCACTGATAATGATTTATTGTTTGTTTATATGAACCTTACAACACTAACTATGACTTTATTTATTATTGACATTGAAAACCCTTTGAAACTCAATTAAATGAATGTAATAATTGACTATTTAATTAAACTTATTGATTACGATCGTGATCGATATGAACAATTGATCGTACCTGACAGTCAGTTTTCGCTTACTGACATTGACGTGTAGTTTGCTTGATTGATGTGTCAAACGTCATTGATTGCGTTCCGTTCTTGATGTCTGTAAATGAATGAAGTCCATGAACACTTGTCCGTAGTGAATGCAGCTACTCTGGCGCACCTCCGGAACGAACCGAACACCGGCTGTGGTGTTGGTTTTGAACGGTGCTCAGCTTCCCGCCGAATGATGTGACGAAAATATGGCCGCCGTATTTCTTGCAAATACCGACCGAATATTTTGACGAACACCACTGATTGATGTTTGATTTATTGAATGCACTAGTACACTTTTACACACCGAAATTGACCTTTTGACGCACTGATTTTAGTGTTCACTGACTGTATATGAATTATACATAACTTGCCGTGCTGTGTCGATCGCGTGACCTTGAAGCTTTCACACGCCGGTCGTTGTTATGAATCCGTAGTAGCCGTGATATTCGTGCTGTCTTGATTTTCACTCAATCTTGAGCGCTGTTCCCCTCATGGGCCACCAGAAATGATGTTGATTTGTAGCTCGGCGCCGACGGCGGGTTCGAAGCGTCGATGGCAACCGCAGCGATTTGTGATTTTTACGGGTGATCGTTGATTATTTACCTTCCTTTCTACTTAGTTGGTGGCTTTTCTCAATGAAACGATTTTCTGAACGTTAAAACTGATTTAATGAACTATTAATTGTACTCAAAAATGACAAATGTACCAACACGAGCAAATTATATCGCCATAATAATTTTAAGAGTCCTTCTAATTATAACAACCAATCAGAGGTCTCTTTTGAAACTACAGATTAGCAAAGTGTGACAATAATAATAGGTGGCGGGAAATTTGAAATTACAATTTATTTATATTGATTACAACATGTTGATTTTGCGTCAACAACATGTGTTAAACAAATAAAATACAATATGATAAAAATATGTAAAAAATGGGTGCGTGTACTTATGTAGGCGCGTGAGAAGTTATCCTTCTTTGGCATCGTTTAAAATTAGTTTTTAATTGCATGCAAATAATTAATTACAATAAATTAATAAAAAGTCTGGAAAAGGACACAGTCAATAAAGTTCAGTTTTAATTTGAAAAAATAAATAAATAATCAAAATATTCAATTAAAATCGCTACTGAATATAATTTATTAGAATATGTGATTTGCACTTGTATGAAACTCAAACACGTATTCCGAATATACAAACTAGAAACATGTGGATAAATATTATAAATATGAATACCTATAACTGTTACTTTATTACAAAAAATAAAGGAGTGGTTTTTGGTTCTACTACACCAATGGTCAAGAGATGGCGCTGTAGTCTCCTGAATCGCGCTTTGGTTCCGTTGTTCCAGATTAATAAATACTTTTGATATTATAAATATGAATACCTATATCTGTTACTTTATTACAAAAAATAAAGATGTGGTTTTTGGTTCTACTACACCAATGGTCAAGAGATGGCGCTGTAGTCTCCTGAATCGCGCTTTGGTTCCGTTGTTCCAGATTAATAAATACTTTTGATAGGCCTTCACAATGCAGTCGTTAGGACCCACTAAATAGAGATTCTATTTCTATTTTGTTGGTAGATTTTCTTAATGTGCGGTAAACACAAAAGTAACAGCATGAAGTTGGTCGCTAAAGCGACCAACTTCATGCTGTTAATTTTTTGTGTTACAGTGATGCGCGCGCATCTTAAAATTTCACTCATCATTTTTTCATAACGCGCCTAAAGAAGTATAACTTCAAAAATAGTCAAAAAATAAGAAGCAAAACTACAGTTTTTATTTTATTCATGATTCCTACCTTACCAAGTTTCCTAATAGTTATTCTTTAAAATCGCATCGAATATAAATGAATTACTTGTAATGTTAATTCAATTCATGCTAAGTTCATAGGTTGACCTATGTTTCATTTAATATTAAACATAACCCCAAAAAATATTAAGTTTTCGTGATAATTTAAGTTCTCAGAAGTGTCCGTCAATAATCTTTGTTTTTATAGTCATTTACTTGCAATTTCGAACCTAGAAAATAATATTTCATGATTGTTGGTTCTTAGCCTAACAATGTATGGACGCAGAACAATGTCCTTTATCAATATTGTTCTAGGTTATGTCAGTCGCTTGCCAGCTATTCTCTGCGTCCCTGTCTGCATTAGGATATGAGTTTAGACCTGGGGAAGATGTGCTGCTACCATTGCAGGTATGAATTCGTATAATTCATCTTCATCATCGTTAGCCCATTAGGCCTTTCTTATAAGTGGAAAAGGGAGCAGATATGTTGGGTGTTTAAGGCCCATATTACAGAGTGACAACTAAGTGTTGATCTTTACTTGAGTACAGTTAGAAAGGGATGTCGCTATGTGCTATATATAGCGACATCCCTTTCTAACTATGCTCAAGAATAGATCAATCACTGAGAGTCTTTCTATAATAAGGGCCTAAGACTGCAGATGCAGCCGGGATTAACGGCTTAACGTGCCTTTTGAAGTACGGAGGAGTGATATTAAAGTTTTAGTTGTCCTTTTGTCAGGTCATTGCGAAATTCAGCTAGATCTAAGAAAAAGTACAAAAAAGTTAGATTTTTTTTCTTTCGTTGCCTGGTTAAACACGAGACCTTAGAATTCAGATGTTCATTACCATCATCATCAGCCTATTAAAGTCCCCACTGCTGGGACACAGATCGACCCTGTGGATGAAACTCATAAACTTGTCTTTTTAAGGGGGGGTGTTTTATCCGAAATTTAAAAAATACTTATAAAACCGTTCAATAAAAAATAAATAAAAAAGATTAAAAACCTATAGACCTTTAACACTTACGCCCCTTCAAGGGCGGGACATGTCATCATACAGATCTTACATCAATTTCCATCTGTAACAAACTATGCTCCTAGCAAATAAACAATTATTATTACAAAATGCAGTCGCAAGACTTGTCTCAAACATACGTAAATTGTGTGTACAATTGCAAGTTCACTAAATCTCTTCCTGGAACGCGTGGAACATTTCTTTTCAACTCTTTTCTCTTTTTCTTCCCTTTAAATGCTTAAAAAAGACAAATTTAATATTCTTAAATAAATCTTTTAAAATTTACAGGTGTTGAAACGTTTTGTATTGGGTGTGAACTATGTGCGTTACGACTTGGAATCTGTGTACTCTGGAAAGTTGGAGCAGAGGGAGCCTTCAGAGATGACTGTCAGGTGAGAGAAGAGACAAATGTTAATGAAAATAATGGTTCTAATTATAGAAGAAGCTTAATACAACTCTTTTGAATTATTCAGACATCACACACATTTTTAGCTTATCCTACTAAAATTATAAATGTGAAAGTTTATAGGTTTATACGTATGTTTGTTATTTGATCCCGCTTCACAAGGGATTTGGGTGAAATTTTATGCACATAATATAGTTATGACCTTTTTTTTTATACGCAGGCAAAAAATACTATTTGCAGACGACGGCGCCTTTAAGAGGCACACCGCCGAACGGACCTCGCACCTGGCTCCCGCAAGCCTAACGAGCCCCCACAGTGGCTGCCCACTGCGGACCCCGTAACCCTTACGGGCGCTTTACGGCATAATATCCGCTAAAAAACCCTGCGAATACCCTCTAAGCTGCTTAGCGCGAAGCCGCGGGATCCCCGTTTAGGGATTCTTCCGCGTCAACATATAGTTATGACCTGGATTGAGACATAGACTAAGTGTAAATGAATGGAGTCCAATATGCCCGTATTTCGGTACCTAGTTTCGTTTTGGTTACCTGACTACATCTTCTAGCCTACATTTCAGGGTAAATAATGCTTCAGGTGCCCGAATTCAAGTAAAGCGCTTATTCCACCTGACTAAATTCAGACGTCCTAGTTGGGATCCTAAAAAGAATGCTAATTAGAAGCTTCTGATTACACTTGACTAATTTAGTTATTGATTCAGTCCGTTACAAGCGCGCGGCGAATTCAGTCGGACTTTTTGGTAATGGCTCCAGGGGGCCATTCGCCTAACGGAAATGCTTTATAAAACGCTAACGCTTACGATTTCATTTTGTTATTTCTAGCCGCCTGAGGGTTTCAAATGCCTCGCGCTCTTTTTTTTCTTTTGCATTGCTAATAACAATATTAAAGAAAATGAGCGTGAGGTATTTGAAAACCTTCGGCGCGGTGAGAAATTACAAAATGAAATCGTAGGGGTTAGCGTTTTCCAAAGCATTTCCGTTAGACGAGTGGCCCCCAGTTGTGTCAAAGCAACAAAAAATCTGTCTTCACGTAGACCTGGCCGTTGGCTCAATAAAAATAAAATAAAGTAAAAAACGAAAACCGTGGGTGAAAGAATATTAATATTATTTTTATCGTTTTCTTTTACCACAGACATCGCGCACTCGCGTAATTCGTAATCGTAGACACTACACGTCCTCACGCAGTGACTCCTGCGGTGCGACTAAAGCATCTAAATGCTTTTACACCTTCCTAATTCGCGTTCTAATTAGGATACTAAATGATTGAGGCCCGCACCGACACGCGCTGGTCAGCTGGTCATTATGATCTATGTTGTCAGATTAATATATAATTTGTATTTGAATTATTATCCTTAAATTAAATCAATCTAAGTTATAATCTTTTATAAATCTAATAACTTTATCTTTTTTTAACTAAGCGCTAAAATTATTTGTTTCGTTACTTACCGAATGGTGACAACAAGTCTTTCTTCTGGAAGGATTGGTTGTTTATGCCAATTGCACCAATTTTTCATCAAACGGTTTTTCACTAAATCCAAAATGTAATAAAATGTTTCTTGAGTCATTCTTGTATATGTATAAAATCTTTGATCATCAAATTTCATTTTTTTTACAAATAAATGATGGTATTCTCCGAAACATTTCCTTTCTCTATTTATAGGATGTATAGCTTTTTTTCGCATTTTTAAATACACATTTTCTAACAAAACCAAATCATCGTCCGATGAGTCCGAAATTTTGCTTGATCTGCTTTAATCGGCTTTCTTTATGTAGTAAGGATCAGCGCCGATAAGCGCTGATCGGCTTTCGGCTTCCTTTCTGTATACGGCCTTACGTTTACTGTTACTTATATGTTCTCTCCAGTTTCTCTCTTTTCTCACCCATACGATTTTTATGTTCATGCGGCTGCATCTCGACGCGGTCTCGGATTCCGATGGACCCATTCCACTTGTACTGTCTCTTTCATTATACATTATCGCTTATCAAATATTTCTTAGTTAATAAAAAGTAAATAAAAATAAAGAAGAAAGGATTAAACATTTAGATTTTCACTTTTCACGGGTCATTTTTAGTCGCGTCAATGTCAAAAATGTAAGTAAATCGACACTTATCGGCGCCGATCGGCTTTCGGCTTTCTTTCTGTATACGGCCTTAGACGGGTGGAATAAGCGCTTAATGTCTTTCGTGCACCCGAATATGGGCTAACGACCAAGTGATTGAGCCATTACAATGCTTACTTTGAGGCTAGGCTAATTGGTGTGACTGTTGGAAATATTTATTTATTTTAACGCCAATCTAATTTGATCCCTATCAGGGCTGCGTTGGAGAGGTTTTTCGAGAGTCACACGCATGGAATCCTGTGGTCGGTGCCCCATGCGGTCGCAGTTTGGAGAGTAGCTGGCTCACCAGCTTATTATATGATGGAACCGCACGCCTGCGGACCCACGGGTCTCAGGGTCGATGCTCAGGTGAGGATGTTGTATGAAATTGCAATAATTACTGTCATTACACAACATCATCATCAGCCTATTAGTGTCCCCACTGCTTTGGCACAGGCCTTTCCAATGGATGGAGTAGGGAGACGGCCGTGACCCACCACGCGGGCCCAGTGCGGATTGGTGGGTGCTTACGACTGCAGATGCAGCTGTGACCAACGGCTTAACGTGCCTTCTGAAGCACGGAGGAGCTCGAGATAATAAGTTTTTGGTCACCCATCCAATGACCGACCATTGCGAAACTTGCTTAACTTTCAGAATCGCAAGCCGAATGAGCATATCTAATGCACTATGGACCTCCACACTACACATAGTAGTCATAATTTAACTTTATAATGCAGCCATTTCAGATGTCGCCTAAGAAGTGCTAGAGAAAATTCGGCACGGCCATCAGGGCCGCGGTAACATAATGTCCAGAAAACCTTCGCCCGGATAGCGGAGAGTGCGGGTTCGACTCCCATCTGCTGCCTCTGCCTCTTAAACATCTGGCAGTTAAATGTTACAAACATAAAATAATCTAATTTATCAATCATGTTTCTGCATGTTATGTTTTGTTTTATTTTATTTGACAGGACGATGGAGCAGCCTGCGTGTTGACGTTCACTTCACCAAAACTAATGGCATTCGCGTAAGTGAAGGAATAAATGGTAGATGATGAGGATATAAATGGCGAAAGTGGTTAGCGCGTTTGGCTGCGATCGTTGGAGTTAAGCAACTTTCGCAGTGGTCAGTCATTGGATGGGTGACCAAAATTTAAAGTATCTCGAGCTCCTCCGTGCTTTGGAAGACACGTTAAGCCGTTGATCCCGGCTGCATCTGCAGTCGTTAGTAAGTTAGTTATAATTATTGACGATTATATATTTTCGGGTTTCATGGTGTCGCCGACTCGAGAGGTCCCGGGTTCGAATCCCGGTGGGGGCAGATGTTTGTGTGATGAATTAGAGCATTTGTACTCCAGTCATGGAATATGTTGTTACAACGTCAATACAATCATAATTTATTTAATACAGAAAACTTGTTGGAATGATTGGAACAGTTCGAACCCAAGCATTTTTGTCTGTAATATAATCAGACACTTTGTAATAAGCTTTTTTAATAAGTGCTTTTTATATACTTTCTTTAAATTTATTTATGGTTAACACGTCCTTATATTTTGGTATATTTTTCGGCACCACAGTGAAGTATTTACAATTTGTCAAGCCCATAGTGTGACAGATTACATTAACTTATAACCCCTCAAATGTGTAAGCAATACGACGCTCAAAATCTTGTCTGTCTCAATTTTATTTTCACGCTCGGAAAATCATAAATAAATTCCTGCCGATTCTCTTTTTATTTTTCAAGTTCTACTGTACATCCAGGCTTCATTTGTCCTAATTCAATACTGAATAGTTTCTCTACAAACATAGCTATGTGTTAGATGTGTAAATCAAAAAACCATTAGTAAATATGATAATACGCAAATAATTTTCTCAACTCGTGACAGAGATCTGTCATCTCCACAGACAGGGGTTTTTTGACGTTGGCAGAAATCTGCCAATTACACAGACCAGGGGTTATACTACCGCGACCCGCCGAAGGTTTTTAAATACCTCACGCTTATTTTTGGAACGAAGTTCCTTACGGCAGGCTTGGAGGGGATAGGGATTTTGCTGCGCGACCGAACTGAAAAAAATGTGATAGTAAAACCGTAAGAAAAAATCCGTGGAAAAAAGTGCGTGGAATAAAACCGTTAAATGAGAGGGGATAGGGATTTTGCTGCGCGACCGAACTGAAAAAAATGTGATAGTAAAACTGTAAGAAAAAATCCGTGGAAAAAAGTGCGTGGAATAAAACCGTTAAATGAGACGTGCGCAGGCGCGACAGTCGCATACACAAGCGAGTAGTGTATAATACCTTTCTCTTTCTCCCTCTTTCTTTTCGTTCTCTCATCCCTTCTCTTTCTATTACCGCTCCACCCCGCCAATACATAGTATATACTCAACTTCGTTCCTACCTGGTGTCCCACGACACCGCATCATTTTCTTTAATATTGTTATTACCAATGCAAAAGAAACAAAAAGAGCGCGATGCATTTGAAAACCTCAGGTGGCTAGAAATAACAAAATGAAATCGTAAGCGATAGCGTTTTCCAAAGAAATCCCGTTAGGCGAATGGCGCCCAGGCGTTAAAACCCAGTACGGCACACCATGCATCTTCCAATAATCATGTTTATTGTTACAAATTTGATTCTTCGCTAGTTAACTTCTTTCAGAATCAAGAATTAATTAATTTCTGTTATCTATGGTGTTCTCTGTCTTGGTCTTCCTTTTTGATGACAGACACATTCTTCAAAAGTAGCCAACGTATCGAAAGAAGATTTTTTATGTTAAAACGGTCGCAAAAAGCATATTATGGCCTGCCTGATGGTAAGCGGCCACCATAGCCTTTAGAAGCTTGCGATATCAACAATATCACTCGCACATATCCCACGACAACGGCTAACTAGAGCCGAGGTCCGAGTCCCAGAGACGCCCTCTAGTTGAGCCGACCCCCTCAGGTTCCAGTGGTCTAGAGGCTCCAGACGGAGAGGAGACTTCCCCGTGGGGAGATGCCATCCGCCTGGAATACCTCTAGAGGCACTCGACAATTCTCGACTTGAGGTCCACTTAGGATTTCACCGACCCCAAGCCCGGTGACGCTGTAAAGGTCATCTGCGAACAACAGCATACACACTAAAAAAAACACTCCCCCTCCTCCCCCCACACTACCCCGTGGAGCCCTGGAATCTTACTCACCGACAGTAACACAACACTACCAAAAGGTAGTGTTATTTTACGACGCTCTTCTGTAGTTTTTTTTCTCCACCAAATTAGAACTTGCAACTTCGCTCTACCAGGTACTTACAAAACATACCGGCTACCGAACGACTAAAGCATGACTTCCAACTATACGCGATGGCAATAGTGGTACAACCTATTAAAAAGCTGGGCGGTGTTGAACCTCCATTGGTGCGAGCGCCGCCGGGGGCGAAGCTTGTGCCAGCCACTAGCAAGGTGAGTGTAAATCTTATGCAACAATATAGAATACCTTAGATCTTATATTAAAACAAAAAGGGAAGATACGGTACGCTCATACTAGCATCAAATAAAATATGATCCGACTCAACTGCATAAGCAACTCTCACACACGCACACGTCTGTATATAAACGTTCAATCGAGCGAGCGACGCTTCAATGCAGCGCGAGCGAAATGGCGAGTCCGCTTCCGAGTCCGCACGGCTGAGCTGTATTGTAGTCCTTTTCTTGATAACAAAATGGCGATTGCGTTAATAACATTCACGACAAATAGCAATTTTTAAGAAAACAAAGTTTTTATAGTTTTACAAATGAAAAATGTTGCCGAGGCATTTGTTAAGTATTTCATTTTGAACTATTTGTGTTCTTTATCAAAAAATCTAATCGAATCGAATCGAATTTATAAAAGAAGCGAAGGCATTGTTTTATCTTTATAACACATAGCTATATTGTGTGCACATGCCGCATGTTTTAAATGTCCAATTGTGATTAAAGCGAATTATGGTCATGCACCACAATTTAAGCGGATCACTTTTAAGCCGCGAGTGCCGTATCTTCCTTTTTTGTTGTTTCAATCTGAAGCACTTATTCCACCTGACTAAATTCAGACGTCCTAGTTAGGATCCTAAAAAGAAGGCTAATTAGAAGCTTCTGATTACACTTGACTAGTACTGATCCAGTCAGTTACAAGCGCGCCGCGAATTCAGTCGGACTTTTTGTAATGGCTCCAGTCCTGCCAAAGCAATAAAAAAAATGTCTTTTCATAGGCCTGGCCGTTAGCTCAATAAAAATAAAATAACGTAAAAAACGGAAAACGTGGGTGAAACAATATTAATGTTATTTTTATCGTTGTTGTTCCAAAGATACGGCATAATCGCTTGCCCGGAAGAATACAGTATTAAGTCAAAATTAGGCACTAACTGACTTAATGATACAGTTCGAATAAAAAAAGTATGTTCTACCTTTTGAATAAGGTCGAAAATCGTTTGCCCCCTGAATAAGCCAATTACGAAAGTTACGTCACTATCCCTCTCGCTCTTTTCTATTCACTAGAAAAAGGAAGAACGTCATCTTCAGTATTGCTCCGGCCATTGAACTGATTCGACGCGTGTTGTTGCAGGGCACAAAGTATTATCTACGATTGATACATAGATTTGGTTTTACCTTATGACGAAAAGTGTATTTTTGTGATTTGTTGCTGTATTTTTTCGTAAAGTAAGTATTTTATTTTTTAATTCCTATTTAGAATATAGTTTTAACACGAAAATGAACCCGTATTCTACACAATAACAAAATGCATAAAGTACCTGGCGTTTAAATGAACAAAGTATTATTTCGAGTTATGCCTATGATCTATTAAAAGATTTGCATTTTTTTTTGTTTACTACTTTATTCACCATAAATTGTATCTTATTCAAGTATTATTTTAAAATGTGTCTGTATTCATTTGAGTTTGAGTTCACGACAACGTATCAAACGTTAAAAATACGCTGTTCTGTTTTTACCTGATTAATTTAGCTAGCAGTATGTCTGATTCGATCTTTGATCTTCACTATCTTATTCTTTATTTCAGTATGTTACCACAGAGAAGACTAGCGTATATTCGGAAATGTATAGCAGCGCATGGTGAGACATCGAGTAACAATCAATATAATTTGCACCCATCTGAAAATCTTGATAGTAGCTTAGATGAGCAAGGCCCTGGCTATATTGAGTGCTTAGAAAGTGTTGATAACGCATGTGAATCAGTTCCCAATGCTAATGTACAAATTAATTTGTTAAATGAAAATATAAATGATTCAGATCATACTATTCCGACATCCTGTGTTACTGAAAATGTTAGTTATTGTTTGGAAAATGATTCTAATATTACTGATATTAATGACATAATATCTAACACTGAAGATCTAAGTAAAGCCGATAAAAGTAATGAGTCCGATTTCGATTCAGATGACAGCGTTAAAGATCCGAACTATAGACATAGATCAGCCTCTAGATCATCAACAGATTCATCTTCATCTTCCAGTTCCAGTAGTTCACCATCGTCAGCTTCAAGTGCGTGTTCACATTCCTCCCGCAGCGAAAACATTCCACCCGCATTGCACTCCTTTAACAGCGAACTTATTCCACCTGCCAGCGAAAACATTCCACTTGCAAACTCTCAGCTTGAAAACTTGGATTGTAACAAAAAACTCACACGAAAACGACAGCGAAATCTTAGCAGTTGGAAGTCAGAAGTTGCAAAACGTTTAAGAAACACAGGTCAAAGCTACACATCAAAAAAACTAAAGAAAGTCATTCCAGCCAGAAAAGTCGGACCACCATGCGGTGAGAAGTGTCGCCTAAAATGTTCTGTAAATGTATCCGAAGAAGAAAGAAAAAATATATTTGATGAATATTACAATTTGGGCAACGTTACGATGCAGAGACAATACATAATTAATAGCACTACTATAATTAACCCGAAATATAAATACACGAATGCGGCAAACCCTAGGCAAAACAACAATGCATTTCATTTTACCGTTCAAAATATTAAAGTACGTGTTTGTAAAACATTTTTTAAATCCACACTAGCCTTAAATGACCGCGTGATAAGGACCGCGTTTGAAAAGCGAATACCTTCTTTAAATAATGTTGTAGCTGTAGATGGCAGAGGAAAGCATGGAAATCATGCAAAAATACCGGATATTATTAAATCCGAAATAAGGGAGCACATACAATCTATTCCGACTATGGATAGTCATTACTGTCGCAGTAATACTAATAAGCTATATATTGATGGCAGTAAAACTTTAACAGATCTTCACAAAGATTACGTTAATTTATGTCAAACTGAATATAAGCCATATGGTAACTATGTTATGTATAGCCATATATTTAACAATGAGTTCAATATTGCCTTTTATTCACCTAAAAAAGACAGGTGTGACACTTGTGAGGCTTTCATGAATGCTACCGGCGAAGAAAAACAACGACTTCGAGTTGAGTATGATACACATTTAGTAGAAAAGGAGTTATCGAGAGCCGAGAAGGAGAAGGACAAATTGAAAGGAAGCAGTGTGGTTGTTGCTGTCTATGACTTACAAGCAACAATGCCTTGTCCAAGAGGGGACGTAAGTAACTTTTATTACATTTCCAAATGAAATGTCTTAAATTTTACAATAACTGATTTAAAGACAAGAGATGTTTATTGTAATGTATGGCATGAAGGGCATGGCAATCGTGGTGTAAATGAGATTGCAACTTGCGTGTGGAATTATCTTTACCAAATAGACACTAAGGCTGAGCAATCCATTGATGTAATATTCTACAGTGACAATTGCTGCGGGCAGCAGAAAAACCGTTTTATGATATCAATGTATATCTTAGCAGTATGTAAATTTCAAAATATTAGTTCCATTCCCCACAAATTTTTAATTAAGGGACACACCCAAAATGAGGGCGACAATTGCCATTCTTTGGTTGAAAGAAAAATTAAAAAATCCCTTCGTTCAAGTGCGATATATTTGCCTGCTCAGTATTTTACTTTAATAAGAACTGCCAAATCTAACGGAAAGCCATTTGCAGTTAATGAATTAACTTACGACAGCTTTTACGATTTTAAAGAAGTATCACCAAAGATAGGAAAAATTTTTTCGAAAAATATACAAAATGAAACTGTAAGAATGAATGATCTTAGTATCATTTATGTGTCTAAATCAGAACCTGGAACTATTTTTTATAAAACTTCTTACTCTGACACCTCCTATAAGCAAATAAAAGTGTCAGGGGCTACTCGAAGCACTCAAAACGACTTGACGACACTTAATTTACCTGCAGCCTATTTAGAGAGGATTAAAATTGCAAGTAAAAAAAAACAGGGGCTGATAAAATTAGTTGAAAAAAACATAATTCCTAAATACTATGAAGATTTTTATCAAAACTTATAAGTAAATTTTAAATATTAACACAAATACTTAAACTTCATAGTACTTATTCAATATTTTGTTTTAGATTTCATTGAGATTTTTATTTTTTTAATTACATATTATGTTTTTTTTTTAACAAAGTAGTGGTACTTCAAATATTTATAAATTTTATTTTATTAACCAGGTAACCTAGATGAAGCGTAAAGTTGCTATTAAGTTAATTAATATTAAGTTTTAAGAATTAAATTTATTATTTTTGTTTATTTTGTTAAAAAATGAGACTGACTAGTTGATTGTTTTGTGTTCAATTGAAATTACCTACCTCTTAATTTTTAATTTTAGTACAAAGACTAGAATTTATTATTTTGAACTAAGTTAAAGCCAAATGTTTTATTATTAAGTTTTCGATTGTGAATCATCCGATTTTTATAAGTAACGTTGATGTTAAGATCTTTTTCTAATAAATGTATAAGAATTGATTTAACTTTTCTGTTTTTTTCGTTATTTTAATTGCATTGAAAAATATATAAATACTGTTTTCATATTAAAACAAACATCTTAAACAAAAGTTATATTGAAAAGAATACAGTTACAAGTGGTACCCTCCTTAGAAAAGATATATATAATTTAAGATGTAATGTTAAAAAGAGCAATATGTTCAAAGATACTTATAGATTATAAACTAATTCATAATAAGAATAAAGAAAAAGACTGTTTATCTAAAGAAAGAACCACAATATTTGTAGTTAAAAGCTTTAATCGCTTCTCCTGAAAAAGTACATTTTTAGAGTTAATACAGTATTCTTGCGGGCAAGCGTATGTTTATACAATTCGATTATGTTACTCATAACTTCTTTTTCTTATACCGCCGACATTGCATACTCCGTAATTCGTAATCGTAGACACAACACGTCCTTACGCAGTGACACCTGCGGTGCGACTGAAGCACCTAAACGCTATTACACCATCCTAAATCGCTTCAACTTACAGCGCTTAAGTGCTTATCCCGCCTGTCTAAATTCAGACGTTCTAAATCATTTAGTAACTAATTCAGTCAAGTGAAATAGTATTTATTAAGTTAAAATCCTAATTAGCATTCTAAATCGGAAGAAGTGTGGCTTCTGATTGACTAAATAGTTTAGTATCCTAATAAGAACGCGATTTAGGAAGGTGTAATAGCGTTTAGATGCTTTAGTCGCACCGCAGGTGTCACTGCGTGAGGACGTCTTGAGTCTACGATTACGAATTACGCGAGTGTGCGATGTCAGCGGTAAAAAAAAAATAAGTTATGAGTAACGCAATCGAATTGTATAAACATATGCCGTATCTTTGCCATAAAAATAATAAAAATAACATTAATAATATTAATATTCTTTCACCCACGTTTTTCGTTTTTTATTTTATTTTATTGAGCCAACGGCCAGGCCTACGAAAAGATAGATTTTTTGTTGCTTTGACAGGACTGGAGCCATTACGAAAAAGTCCGACTGATTTCGCCGCGCGCTTGTAACTGACTGAACCAGTAACTAAATTTGTGAAGTGTAATCAGAAGCTTCTAATTAACCTTCTTTTTAGGATCCTCACTAGGACGTCTAAATTTAGTCAGGTGGAATAAGCGCTTTAGATTGCTTTAACCATTGGTAGAGGCTGGTTCGCTGATTGGCCGGCTCGCAGGCACGCTGCTTTGCCTTACGGAACAATGATCCGCGCCACAGTAAAGGCGCGCAAATTCAAACTGGAAGGCGGCATGAAATGCATGTTCATAGAGTTCTTACAAAACAATCAATATTCTGAGATTATAGGTACCTGATGAAACTGACATATCGCCGTGCGTGTCTTATTGCGTAAATTCGGCCTTTTTTACCTCTCTTGCTTTAAATTAACGCATTATTGTTCCGGTCAGTACTGTATCCTACATAAATTGTGTTAATTTTCTTAGAGAACTTCATACTATTTTTTATTATTGACATTGATGTATTTTTTAAGTAATTAGTGAAATTCTTATTTTACAATTTTTTTATCAATTTAATTTATTTACAAAAGTGTAAGAACTCGTAATGTTATCATAACAATAATTTTACAGCAATAGTTTTTATATTTTTAGTTTCTTGATCAGAGTGTTTTGTTTTTTTTTTTTTATAAAAGTGCAAATATTCATAATTTATCTTAAGTACTTCCAATCCACAATTTTATATTGTTAAGGAATAAATAAATATTATATTCGCCATAATATAAAATTTAGGTTGGCATCGACGGTAGCAAACGTAGAGCTAACGAAAAGGACCGCAAGCATCCGCCAGGGAGCGCCACCTGTATCGATGCTCAACGAGCCACGGACGATAGAGACAAGGAGCAGAACAAACTGAAAGGTAAGACAATAATCCGGAGAAAAGCATCGTGATCCTCTTTAGCACGACACCACCGCCCACGCGTTCTATTCCGAGCATCCGACTATTTGACCGGTTCATCCCCTGGGAGGACCGGGTCAAGTACTTGGGAGTCACGTTAGATAAGCGATTGACGTTTGCACCTCATCTCAAGAGCGGCAGGCTATTCCACCTCATAGGGAAGCGTAGTAAAATGTCACTTAAGCATAAGTTGAAAATTTACAAAACTTGCATCCGCCCCTATCATGACCTGCGCGAGTGTTTGCTTCGCCCACGTACCTCCGTCACGTCTTAAACCACTACAAACGCTACAAAATTGTGTGTTGCGCGGTGCCAACAGGTTGCCCGTGGTACGTGCGCAATATTGATTTGTATCTCAAGGTAGACTCCATCGCGAAGTATATGAAGGACGCCTCGAGGCGTTACTTCGATAAAGCCGCGCATCATCCTGTAGGAAGGCCTAAGGGGAAGATCTTCCTCCGAGCTGGGTGACGGTAGCTCGAGGGCCGCGGCCCGACTGATGTTGGTCGGGCATCGTATATATGAAGAGTTAGCTTCCGAATTTCATTTGCGCGATGTAGGCTTCCATACTATTATTGATCGCAGTGCAGGTAACGCCATCTCTTAAGGATGGTGAGTAATGATTTCCTCTATCCCTTGTCTATATGTGGGGCTTATAGATGTCGCCGCCACAATCCAAACCCCTTAGTAGTTAAAGCGATTAGTTATCATACGTCCGCCCTCCCGTCCTCCAATCGTAGGTCCCCCCGATTCCGTCGGCACGTCTTAGAGTACCCAGACGACGAAATCACCCACGCCAACGCGCCTCTGATTCCTCCCACACAGGCCATAAACACTAACACTACACAGCTGCAAACGTGCATACAGCTTAGTATTAGACAGACACCGCACCCGTAGGATAAGAGTGCGAAGAACCGGTCTACACACGACACGCTATACCAGGTACAGCTACTTACCTGAACGTATTTCTCCGTCTCCCCACGACATCGGCTAACTAGAGCCGAGGTCCGAGTCTCAGAGACGCCCTCTAGTTGAGCCGACCCCCTCAGGTTCGAGTGGTCTAGAGGCCCCAGACAGAGAGGAGAGTACCCCCGGCGGGGAGATGCCATCCGCTTGGAATACCTCTAGAGGCACTCGCCAACTCTTGGCTTGAGGTCCCCTTAGGATCTTGCCGTCCCAAACCCGGTGACGCTGTAAAGGTCATGTGCGACCAACAGCATACACACTCAAAAAAAAAGCGGCCATCATATCCTATTGACGCATGCGCTTTCCTATCCTGACACAATTCCCTACCCCCTGGAGCCCTAGAACCTTACTGACCAATAGAAACGGAATAACACCAATAGGTAGTGTTATTTAACTGTGGTCTTCTGTTAGTCTGTTTGAATCCAGCTCGAAGGACCAATTAATTGGGTAGTTCACACATTGTTTTTTACCAAAACAACCCCATTTCTGCTTATCAATGTAGTTCATCAAGGGATAAATTTAAAACATACGAGTAAAAAACCCACGTGTCTATCTTAAATAGGTTTTATTTATAAAAAAAGATACAAGAATTGTTATTAACTATAGATTTAAACATGTAGCAGTAAAATGCTAAAAAATAAAAATATAACCAAATACTCAAGAACCTTACTTATAAAATACATTTTTGAAGCGTTACCAACCAAGATATTTATTTTCAATAAATATGGTCTAACACAGAGTTCCCCAAATTTTTTTGTGTCGTATACCCCTTGCCACGTTTTTCCGTGTTTGGTAGACCCCCTACTTACCTGATATTGATTTTTGTTGTCATAGACCCCTAGGGGTCGATATAGACCACTTTGGGAATCACTGGTGTAACAGAACAGATTTAATCGCGTGTTTTGCAATTTCTCTTTTTTGTGTAATTTAGATTTATAGATTTTGGATATATTATTTTTTTCTTAAGATATATTATTATAAATAATAGATCATTAATGAAGTCTATCATTCTTAAAAAAAACATGTCGCACTGTATACGGTTGTAAGGAGAAATAAAATTTAAAATTTTAATGTTACAGTTGGCACTTTGTTTGTCCTCATCATCAGCCTATTACTGTCCCCACTGCTGGGACATAGGCCTTCCCTATGGGTGAAATAGGGAGATTGGGCCATAGAATAGGGAGCGACTGCAGATGGAGCCGGGATCAACTGCTTAACGTGCCTACCGAAGCACGGAGGAATTCGAGATAGAAGATTATTGGTCACCCATCCAATGACCGACCACTGCGAAAGTTGCTTAACTTCAACGATCGCAGCCGAACGCACTAACCACTTGCGCCATCGAGCTCCTCCACTATTTGTCCTCGGTTCATTTTATTTTATTGAGTCATAAATACAGTTAAATCTTGGTCTCTTATTAGTGGTTCTTCGATGAAGGATCCACCCTCGTTTAGTTTATGCTAAAGCCTCGTGTCAATGAAATGAAATGAAATGAAACGAAACGAAATGAAAAGTCATTTATTCAGTCTAGGCTGTTACAAGCACTTGTGAAGGTCAAGAAGCTACGCCATCGGTTCGCAAAACTACGGCGGGAGACCTTGTACTGAGAAGAACCGGCAAGAAACTCAGCAAGGGCTGCTTTTTTCTCCCTGTATTGATATATACAGAGTCGTCAAGTTGAAAAATTACTTCAGAGATACTTCTAAAGTCACCTTCCATTACATTTTTTAGGATATTAGATATATAGTAACAATAAAATGTATATTTAGTATATAGGAATCGGCATTAGATGCAATGCTCGGTGTTTCCTTACGCAATAGAATCAGAAATGAGGAAATCCGTAGGCGACCCAATGATTACTTTGGTAACTAATATCGCTCGAAGGATCGCTCTTCTTGCTACTTGTGGGCGGAACACGTAGCAAGAAGAACCGATGGACGTTGGGACGGAAATGTTCTGGAATAGCGACCACGCACCGGACGACGCTCAGTGGGCAGGCCCCATACAAGGTGGACCGACGATCTTGCGCAGGTCGCGGGAAGCCGATGGATGCGAGTGGCGCAGGATCAATCGATGTGGAGATACTTAGGGGAGGCCTATGCTCAGCAGTGGGCGTGATGATGATGATGTAAGCCCCGTGCCGGATACAGTGGGGACATTAAATCCAAAGGTTGTCTGGAAGAGATCGCTCTAAGCGATAAGGCCGCTCATTGTTACACTAGTTTTAATTGTTTTTTTTTTATGTTATAGGGGGCATACGAGCAGACGGCTCACCTGATGGTAAGTGATCACCGTCGCCCATGGACACTTGCAACACCAGGAGTATCACAAATGCGATGCCGGCCTTTAAGGAAGGAGTACGCTCTGTTTTTGAAGGTTTTTGGGTCGTATTGGTCCGGAAACACTGCTGGCGACAATATATTCCACAGTTTTGTCGTACGTGGTAAAAAATTTTGACAAAAACGCACGGTTGTGGATAGCCACGTCACGTATCAAGATGATGGGGATGAATTTTTTGTCGCGATGTACGATGGCGAAATGCAGCAGCTGGAATTAATCCGAACAATTCTTCAGAACACTCTCCGTGATAAATGCGATAGAAGATGCAGAGCGAAGCTACATCCCTACGCAAAGCCAAAGGATCAAGCTGATCGGAAAGGTCGTCGACGATTCGAGCTGCTCGGCGCTGGATGCGATCCAAAGGGAGAAGCTGGTACTGGGGTGCCCCCGCCCAAAGATGAGAGCAGTACTCCATGTGAGGCCGAACCTGTGCCTTATAAAGTTGCAGTCGGTGGGCCGGTGTGCTGCATTATCCCCCTCTCAGGGGATAATCGCTTCAGATGAAGCTTGTAAGGCCCTTCAGGCCATAAGCATGATCTACGGGTGTGTTTTAGTCAGTAAGAGTCTGACATAACCTTGCAGCCGGCTGTAAGGTATCCATGAGGATTTCACACCCGCTCCCCCGCCTGGGAGGAATCAAAAAAAAAAAAAAGGGCCGGTGTGAAGTACATTCTCGATCTATTGAGCACACCAAGCTTCTTAGAGGCCAATTTGGCCTTGCCCTCTAAATGATCCCGAAACTGCACGTCGCTCGATATGTCAACGCCAAGAATTCCAATACTAGCTGGTTATGTACTAAATTTAATGTTATCTGTGGTGTACAATGAAGTGCTTTATATTGTATTATATTATATTTAATTAATAGGCTGATGATGATGTATTCATGATTGTTAAGGTCAACGCAACACCAGCGGCTGGTTAGTGCTAAACGATGGCACTCAGTTCCTCTCGGCTCAACACTCGATGGCGTGTCGTAAGTTCCCGTACGCTTCGAGAGGAAATCAGGTATGTATCGAGAATTTTTGTTGCACAAATATCTGATTTTGATTATATAAAATCCGAATAAAAAAGACCTTTGGAAAATTCCAAGAATATTGCTAATTTACGAAGATATGAAAATTTGAAAATAAATACAAAATTGTTATGGAACTTCAAAATAAATAACAGCAAACCATTTGCATGTAATATTAAGTGACTAATAGGTATCTATGTTTTATGGTAAACATGTGAGATCTGTGCCGTTTGGTGGGTACTGACGACTGCAGATGCAGCCGGGACCAACGGTATATCGTGCCTTCAAAACTCGGAAGGAGCTCGAGATAGTAAATTTTTGGTCACCCATCCAATGACCGACCACTGCGAAAGTTGCTTAACTTCAACGATCGCTGCCGGACGCGCTTACCACTTGCACCATCGACCTCCTCAATAACATAGCATTTTATCCTAAATAACGTACCTGTATAATCCGCCTGATAATAATCTGGTTGTGCATTGCCTACTCTCACTCCATACAGCCATTTCATCTAGTGTATTTACATTTTAAATTGTACTCTTGGTGTACACTCCTAAGTGTTAGAAGGCTTTTTATATTATATGTATTAGGGGCCGTTCAAGTATTACGTAAGCACTATAGGGGGCGCGTGGTGGGTCATGGCCCAATCTCCCTATTCCATCGATAGGGAAGGCCTGTGCTCCAGCAGTGGGGACATTAATAGGCTGATGATGATGATGATGATGACTATAGGGGGGCAGGGGTGTCTTTGCCTTGCTTATTTTGAATGACATGGGGGGGGGGGGGGGGGTCGAGATAGTGATTACGTCAGCATCATGGATTCGGGTGTCATGGACTGAAGACTGTATATGTATACCAAAAATTCGAAAGAAGTTTATTTTGTTCGTAATAGTACCTTACTCTATGTTGAATACTGTGTCAATAAAGTTTCTTTAAATGAATAATAAGTGCGAGGAGCTCGATGGCGCAGGTGGCTAGCGCGTCCGGCTGCGATCGTTGAAGTTAAGCAACTTTCGCAGTGGTCGGTCATTGGATGGGTGACCAAAAATTTACTATCTCGAGCTCCTCCGTGCTTCGGAAGGCACGTTAAGCCGTTGGTCCCGGCTGCATTTGCAGTCGTTAGCACCCACCAATCCGCACTGGGCCCGCGTGGTGGGTCATGGCCCAATCTCCCTATTCCATCCATAGGGAAGGCCTGTGCCCCAGCAGTGGGGACATTAATAGGCTGATGATGATGATGATGATGATGAAGTGCGTTAAAGCCCTCTATCCTAAGCCTATTTAAGTACTGCTGCTCATGAAGCTCATGAAAGCTCATGAATCAATAAAAAAAACAGAATACATTAAAGGAAAAAATGCATGTAGGTATCAATGTTTACGTAAGCACGTGAGGGGGGGAGTAAGAGCTTTGCTTACTTTTGCTGACAAGGAGGCGGAGGGAGTAAATAACGGCCCCTTAATGGAGAAACATAAAACTGTTTATTTTGATCCAAATCGCATTAAGAGGAGAAAATATGTTGACATCAAACCTATCACTAAAACTGCTTTTGCTAGACGCCAGTATAAAATGCAATCATCATTGATATATAGGGTATAGGGTTAATAGACTGAAACATTTGTTCATTAACATCATGTGAGCTAAAGAAACAAGTAACTGAATGGATTTTGAATCTTATATATGACGAGGTGGAAAAACTTATGCAAGTTGACGTATGAGATTAAGCTTTTGGGTATATTCATGATTTTTGATATTTATTTATTATTTAGTTTTCTTTTATTAATTAGTTTGAGATATGTATGTATATATACTTTTTGTAAACAAATTGTGATGTACGAGAGAGCGAGGCATTCTAATACAGGTACAGTGGATCCCCGGTAGTCCGACAAACATTTTGCAGGGCAGTGTCGAACTATCGAATTTGTCGGATTATAGAGTACTGACTAAGACCCCCTATAGTCCGATTTTTTTTACAAAAGAGTACCCTGTAATCCGACAAATTACAGATCCAATGATAAGATTACAAAACATACTTTGTTATGTATGTCAAATTTAGTAAATTAAACAACACAATAGAAAGATTATGTTTTATTATAAAAGTAACGTCATTAATGCTATAGAATTAATAAACAAAAAAATATAAAAAAACAATACCCTACGCGTCAGCACAATAGTGATGGTGCGTACAAGTTGTAACTTGTTCAATCGTGAATTAGCGAATACTTGTATGTAATAGACGATGTCGGATTATAGGGGGTGCCGCATTAGCCAGGGGCCGGATTACCGGGGCTCCACTGTATATGTTAACCTAAAAGAGTTCTTCAATAACTTTTATATTAATTCAATTTGGTTACAGAATAAATATTTTTCATTTTCATTTTTCATTTTCGTTTTACATTAATTTAATCTACTTTGCCACCGTAATTGATTCGTAAATCTGCTGTGGGAGACCTGGAACTAAGACCTTGAACTCAGATTGAAGTTCGATTTGAGTGTAAAATCGTACCTCTTCTTTCAATATCTTGCATTCTTGATTGTTTCTCCAGGCAATAGCTTGCTCCATAATGGCCGTAGCCATGTCTCGTGTTGAAGACGTGTGCCGCTGGTGTTCCACCACCCTGGACCAGATCCTGGAGAGCGGAGACCAACTCTACCAGGACAGCTACCTCCACTACAAACCAACATGCAAAATCTTGACCATACAACAGGTATATTGTCAGTATATAGGTGGTAATTTGTTTTAAGCGGTATTGCTACTAGTTGTAATGTGTAGTGTCTAGAATCCATGATTTGTATGTGCAAACACCAGAAGAATCAGTGTATTTTGTTTTCCACAACATTACACATGTTAACACTATATATACATCTGTTTTAGTCTTTATTATAATTTTATATTAGATAATTAAAACCACACTTCTTCTTTAACAGCCGACATCTTTATTATTAAGCATAGACTGTTACATTACAACCATAGACAATCAACTAATACTAGATTACAGGTTAGCAATACAACATCTTCCTCTTTCTAACAAAAGTAACTTTCTGCAGTTTTTTTTTTTTTTTTTAATAATAATTTTCCTTCCCCCTTATTTAAACAATCATTGACTTAATTATTTAATACAGTATATAATCATTAAATCTACTAGGAATATTTACTTGACGCTTTGATCTCACAGTACTTTCTTGATTAACTAATACAGAATCATCCCTATTACTATTGTTACAATACACATCTTGCCTCCTAAGCTTTGGAAAATTGTAATCAGATACATCTATTTCTTCATTATCACTCCTACGTGTACGTAATTGTGAAGAGTTCCTTCTAATGAATTTATTAGTGCCTAAATCTTTGACTACATAAGATCTAGGAGTACAATGGTTAGCAATCACTCTACCGGGCACCCACACTTTGTCTTTTTGTATTAACACCTTATCATTTTTACTAAATATTTGTTCACTTTTACATTTTTTATCATGATAATCCTTATATTGTTTTTGATGCTTATTTATTAAATGTTTTAAGTTACCTGTACATTTAGGCACTAACAAATCTCTTGACATTGGTAATTTAGTTTTTAATTTTCTACACATTAAAATTTCAGCTGGTGATAGCCCCAAGTGAGGAATGGGTGTTGACCTATAATTTAATAGAGCACTTTCAATATCACAGTTATCTTTAAAGGATTTTTTAATTAATTGTTTTGCAATATGGACGGCTTTTTCAGCCATTCCATTGGACCTTGGATAGCAGGGACTACTAGTAATAATATTAAAATTCCAGGCCCGAGCAAAGTTACTAAACATTATTGAACTGAAAGGCACATTATCAGCTATCATTGTAGATGGTATGCCATGACATGCAAACATTTTCTTTAATAAATTTATTACACTTTCACTGTCTTTGTATTTCAGCGGTTCCACTTCCAACCATTTCGATAAATAGTCAATTAACACTAAATAATCTTTACCAAAGACAGTTAATATGTCATCACCAACTTTTTGAAATGGAAGTTCAGGTATGTCATGAGGAATTAAAGTTTCATGTGACTTAGTTGCTCTATGTTTCTCACAGATTTTGCAACTTAATATATATTTTTCGATAAAACTATTCATACCTTGCCAATAAACCAATTCCCTAGCCTTTAATTTAGTTTAGACCCTCATGTAAAAGTTTCAATATTTTTAATTTTAACTTTTCCGGAATAATAAGTTTATTTTTGAAAAATAAGGCTCCATTTTCAAAAAATATATCTTCTTTTAGACTCCAATAATGTTTAGCACTATCTGGAACTTCCTTTAATTTCTTAGGCCAAGATGTTTTACAATAATTTATTAACAATTTTAAAACAGTGTTATCATATTGTATTACACTGTGAACTGTACCACTGATATTTAGCTCGTGCTCATAACTTTCTTTAATAAAATTTCTAGACAATAAGTCTGCTATGAACATGTGCTTTCCAGGTAAGTATTTAACATCAAATTTATATTTAGACACAATCATTTTCATTTTCTGTAATCTGTCAGATGACACTTTCCATAAATCTTTACTAATTAACGTAAGTAATGGTTTATGATCTGTTAATACTGTAAACCTATATCCATATATATAATTATGAAACTTTCGTAAAGCAAATACAATACTCAGAAATTCCTTTTCAATCTGTGAATAGTTAACTTCAGTATCTGTTAAGGCCCTAGAAGCAAATGCAACTGGTTTGTTGTTTTGTAAGATGCATCACACTGTATTACAATTGGTAGCCCAGAGTTAAAATTACTAAGAACAGGTAGGTCACATAAAGTAGATTTTATTTTATCAAAACATTTTGTATGGTATTCAGTCCATAGAAATACATTTTCTTTCTTTAATAATTGTCTAAGTGGCTGTGTTAGGTTAGCCATATTAGGTATAAATTCTCTCAAATAATTTAACATGCCAAGAACAGACTGCAATTCTTTAATGTTTTTTGGGTTCTTAAGTTGTTGAATAGACTGAATTCTATCTGGATCTATTGAAAGCCCTTCTTCTGAAAAGATATGACCTAAGTATTTTATTTCAGACTTTTTGTATTGTAATTTTTTTAAATTAAATTTGATATTGTATCTTTTAGCTCGTTCCATAATAAGATTTAAGCTATTATTATGTTCTAGGTCATTATCTGTGGCCAAAACTAAATCATTTAATAAACAACTAAGCCTTTTATATCACCAAATATTTTAGTTATTACTTTTTGAAAGTATTCTGGGGCACAAGACAAACCAAACGGCAATCTTAAGAATTTGTAGTAACCAAAGGGAGTGATAAATGTACACAGGTCACTCGATTCCTCATTAAGTTTTATATTAAAAAATCCATCCTTTAAATCAAGCAATGTAAAATTTTTTTTACTACTTAACTTGGCTCTTATATCCTGAAGAGTTGGAATTAATTCATAATCTCTAATAATAACTTTAAACTGGATCTAAACAAATTCTTAAGCTACCATCTGGTTTCTCAACCACTGTGATATTGCTGGCCCACTTAGTAGGACAATCAACTTTTGAGATTATTTCAGCATTTTCTAATTCTTTCAATTTTAATTTCAGTTTACTCACTAAACTTAAAGGTATTCTCCGTGGTGGACATATAACACCTTCACAATTGTTTTCCACTTTTATATTATATTCATAAGGGTATTTTCCGATTCCCTGAAATAAATTGTGATATCTTTTAACAAAAACATTTTCTTCAAGTGATACTGTGTTCACGTTGTGAATTAGACCCAAAATTTGACTACCTGGTAAACCAATAATGGTAGTGCAATTATTATGTACCACTATAAATTCTATATTAATTTCCTTTTTCTTGTAAACACAAGGTCATCATCATCATCATCATTTCAGCCGAAAGACGTCCACTGTTGGACATAGGCCTCCCCCATGGATTTCCACAACGATCGGTCCCATGCTGCCCGCATCCAGCGGCTTCCCGCGACCTTTACCAGATCGTCGGTCCACCTTGTGGGGGGCCTGCCAACACTGCGTTTCCCGGTACGCGGTCGCCACTCGAGGACCTTTCCGCCCCAACGGCCATCGGTCCTGCGAGCAATGTGCCCTGCCCATTGCCACTTAAGGTTTGCAATTCTGAGTGCTATGTCGGTGACTTTAGTTCTCTTGCGTATCTCCTCATTTCTGATTCGATCACGCAGAGAAACTCCGAGCATAACCCTCTCCATTGCCCTTTCGGTGACTTTGAGCCTTCTTACAAGACCCATTGTAAGCGGCCACGTCTCGGTTCCGTATGTCATCACTGGCAACACGCACGAATTGAAGACTTTCGTCTTGAGGCACTGCGGTAGATGTTCCGAGAAGATGCTACGTAGCTTCCCGAACGCTGCCCAGCCGAGTTGGATTCGTCGATTAACCTCTTTCTGGAAGTTGGACTTACCCAGTTGGACTATTTGTCCGAGGTATACGTACTGGTCAACAACTTCCAGTGTAGAGCTCCCAACAGTCACTGGAGTGGGTACGACATGGGAATTCGACATGATTTTCGTCTTGTCCATGTTCATTTTGAGACCCACTTGTTGGGACACCCTACTGAGGTCGCCGAGCATTGTGCCAAGGTCATCCATGGTCTCAGCCATGACTACGATATCATCTGCAAATTGAAGGTGCGTCATGTACTCGCCGTTTATGTTGATGCCAAGTCCTCTCCAGTCCAAAAGTTTGAAAACGTCTTCCAGCGCAGCTGTAAACAGTTTCGGTGATATAACGTCACCCTGTCTTACACCACGCTGCAGCTGGATTGGCTTCGTGTTTTGGCCCTGGAGTCGAACTGACATAGTGGCGTTTTCATACAACGACTGCAACACTTCGATGTATCGATAGTCTATTTGGCACCTTTGGAGTGACCGAAGCACGGCCCATGTCTCGATCGAATCGAAGGCTTTCTCGTAGTCCACAAACGCCAAGCATAATGGCAGGTTATACTCTTCGGTCTTCTGTATAACCTGCCGCAGCGTATGGATGTGGTCTACGGTACTAAACCCTTTTCGGAATCCGGCTTGTTCGGGAGGCTGGAAGTCGTCAAACCTGCGCGCGAGACGATTCGTGAGGACTCTCGAAAACAGCTTGTATACATGACTCAGGAGCGTGATGGGTCTGTAATTCTTCAATTGGGCCCTGTCGCCCTTCTTGAAGAAAAGCGCCACCACTCCCCTATGCCATGCGCTAGGCGTTTTGCCCTCGAGTATGACAGAGTTAAATAGCTTCTGAAGAGATTTCAAGACTGGTCGTCCACCTGCTTTCAGAAGCTCGGCTGTAACTCCGTCATCACCCGGCGCCTTTTTGTTTTTGAGCTGTTTCAGAGCTACACTAATCTCGTACAGGCTGACGTCCGGGATATCTTCGGTGTAGTGTCGGGTTAATTTGGCTCTTGGGTCGGTCGCCTTTGTGACAGGTACTCGTGATGTCGCGTATAGCTGTCCGTAGAAGCTTTCGAGCTCAGCCATAAGCTCAGGTTGCGACGAAATGATTCTGCCGTCCTCCGTCTTCAGCTTCGTCAGCAAACTCTGTCCAAGAGACAGATTTCTTGCGAACACTTTCGAGCCTTTGTTCCGCTCGATGGCCTCTTTAATACGATCGGTATTAAAGCGGCGTATGTCGCGAGTCAGAGACTTCGAAATATGCCTATTGAGCTGCCGACGTGCATCTTCAGAGGACTGCA